ACCGGACGCTTCGGTCAAATTGACCGGACGCTGGACCTCAGCGTCCGGTCGTGCGATGTGCGCCACGTGTCAACTGCTTCAAACGCCGATCGCCCGATTTCAACGGTCAAGTGATGACCGGACACGTCAGTTAGAAAGTGACCGGACGCTGGACCTTAGCGTCCGGTCGTTTCCAGTAAGCATCCAAACGCGAAAATTCACGACCGGACGTGTCCGGTCATGCTCGACCGGACGCACCCAGCGTCCGGTCACTCAACGTCTCCTCTGTGTGCCTCACATCAGCGTACGTCAGCACTGACCAGACGCACCCCTGCCAGCGTCCGATCACTAAGTGACCCAGCGTTCGGTCGTAAGACCGAAACGCGCACCCTTTGCTGCCACTGACCGGACGCGTCGGTCCAACCGAGGCCAGCGTCCGATTACTTACAGTGACCTCCAATTTTTCTATCTAGGGCGCCGGTGGCACCGTCGGACTGTCCGCACTCTATGGGTAGACACTCCTCCGGTGGAGTTCCTTACTCTTGCTCCCAAACTCCACCACCCTTGATCAAATGTGCCAACCACTAAGTGTATACCTTGTGCACATGTGTTAGCGTATTTTCACAAACATTTTCAAGGGTGTTAGCACTCCGCTAGATCCTAAATGCATATACAATGAATTAGAGCATCTAGTGGCACTCTGATAACCGTTTTTTGATGAGTTTCACTCCTCTTAATAGTACGACTATCAATCCTAAATGTGATCACACTCGCTAAGTGTCTCGATCACCAAAACAAAATGACTCCTATCATTTATACCTTTGCCTTGAGCTTTTTGTTTTTCTCTTTCTTCTTTTCCAAGTTCAAGCATTTGATCATCACCATGCCATCACCATTGTCATGATCTTCGTCATTGCTTCATCACTTGGAGTAGTGCTACCTATCTCATAATCACCTTGATAAACTAGGTTAGCACTTAGGGTTTCATCAATTAACCAAAACCAAACTAGAGCTTTCACGACGTCACTGCCAACCCCGTTCAACCATTTGAATCACTTTTATAATTGCTTTCTATATATCTTGCTCTATATTTTTTGTTTGTGACTTTCTACTAAGTTGACATACAACTTCAGTAAGAAAGGGATGTGTCGGTGCAGAATGTGACCAACTAGTAAATATTTATAGTTTTGCCGCACGTTGTGATCGGAGGTGGCCTAGCACTCAATGGCACATGATTTATACTAGTTCAGGCAACGTGCCCTACGTCCAGTTTGTGTCGGTCGGTGACTTTATTCCTGAGCCCAGGTGCTCGAAGTTTGCAGTGGGGTTACAAACGAGAAGGAGAAAGATAGGGTGTACAAGAGGTCCGGTCGGAAGGGCCGAGAGCGACAGGAGCTACGCTATGAGCTAAGTGTCCAAGCGTGTGCTTGAGGTCCGAACCTAGAGGTTCTGTGGTCGTGGACTAGTGAACTTGGTTGAACTAGTGGAACTCAAAAAGCCTTAGAGAGAAAGGAAAAGCTTCTCAAAAGGGGGCCTCTTGTTGGAGGGTGCGCACCCCCTTTTTATAGATAAAGGGGATAGCTTTACAAGTGAGAGGGTGAGGGTATGTATGTTACTAAGCTTTGTTGCCCATGCCGGTGGGTATAAGATAATAGTGGTGCCCACAACACTATTGATGTCACTGTAGAATGCCAGATGCATATGGGAGGTTACGTTTGCCTTCTTTAGGAATGGTAGATGTCGGTACCTGTAAATACTGTTCGATGCCTAGAGGCATGCGAGAAGTATCACCATGTTCACCCCATATGGAAAATCCCAGCGCCCACAACACTATTGATGCCTAGAAGCACGTGGGGGCCTTACCGTATGGGAGTTTTAACGGCGCCTACAATACTATAGAGGAAAATGTCGGTGCCTACAATACTGTTTGTGTTAGGGTGGTTGTAGAGTATTGTTCCTACAGGTGTATAGGGTATGGTCCCTGGTATCATGGTTTGACTTACGTGCCCTGGCTTGCTTTCTCTGTTTGCCCCTGCCTCCTTCCGAGCGGGCGTTCTCGGTCGGATGGCCCCAGTCGGCTCTGATCGCGGCAGTCGGAGAAGAGCGGTGAGCAGGATTTCTACGCACCCCGGTCGGAGATGTGGGGTCAGAGTCAGAAGTAGCGCTTGGGCTAGGTCTTCCGATCGGAGAGGCCGTTCGGAGGCGGCTGGAGTGCGAAGCTAGCGCTCCGGTCGGAGAGGTGGGCCAAAGTGGTTGACGAGCGGGCGTCGTTCCTCTTCGGCCAGACCTTCTGATCGGTGACTGGACCGTCCTTATGGCCTGTTGTTTTTAGACTCTCGGGCCAGCCCACGAGTTGTGTGCTGCCTTCTTAAGCCGAGCCTAGGCGTTGAAGCTGGCCCCCGAGGGACCCCGGGTTTATGAACCCGACAGGATGAGTGTTCTTCTTTCTATAATTCTTGTACCTGTGTGATATACGTTCCGAGTGTACAATTTTGTCACTAGTGATGGCCTACACACATGGCATGGGACTATGATCTACTCAGTAGCTCGCAGTGAGGAAACAATAACAAGGATAGAAATTAGCAAACTTAATGAAGCTACGTTTTGTAAATAAGTACTCGCGTGACAAATTATGTGTAATAAGCTTTGTACACAACAACGACTTACCGCTATAGAATATGACATCTCTAGTTATGCATAGCAATCCTCAGACATTTGCAATCATATCGAGAGTATGACACAAACCGTATAAAAACAACATAGATGATTCTCGTAGAAAATTCTAGAGGACAATGTTGAAGCAACCACAACAAGTAAATAGGATTTTTTGGGAAAACAACCACAAATTATATAAGCATAGCTCCAACAGAGTACAAGTGCTTGTTGCTCCCTCTCACAACCCTGCTTGATCCTCTAGGGCCCTCTAATTCTTGTCGTACATAAAAAACTGGTGCAATAGAAATGTCTAGCCTAGTCATCTCGAGCGCTCCTAGTTTCTCTAGTTGACGCCTATGACCTCCTCCCCCTTTGTTTGTATAGTGCCCTCCAAGATCCTCATACATACAAGTAGGAGTTCTATTTCTGATAGGATTCAACATTAAAGAACTACGGCTATAACTGTGACATTTGAGATGGGGAAAATTTGACCACTTAAAAAACTAAGGCTAAAACCACTTATAAAAAACTACACAAGTTCTATCTAAATGTGGACTAAGGATTTTCTCTTGCTTTCTTACAGTCCATTTTGCCAAATCCCTCAAGGAATCACCAAGAATAGAGAGAGACAGAAAGCTTTAGGTCGAAATGAGTGAGTGAAGAAGATGACCGAGAAGGTATAAATACCCCCTCAACTCCCACAAAACGGCAGACAGAGCGTGGAGGCTCCGCGTTGCGGAGGCTCTGCCTCCATGCGCAGAGGTTTCGTGCAGGAAAGAACATATTAGAATGAAGATCATTTGGGTTTTTATGGCTGAGATTATTTGTGATGTAGGTACAGATGTGAGCACTTGGTTCCACCCAGCACACTATTAGTATCCCCCTTGATAGTACGGCTTGTTCTATAACTCAATGTCAAAACATAAAATGAAGCAATCTTGCTCCTTAGTCATTGCAAGCCATGCTTTTGAGTTGAGGGTCTCCTCCTGTGTTTCTTTGCACCCATAACTTATGATCCGCTGTTAAACACTTGTAAAAGCCATTAGTCCTTTAATTATGTGGCCAACATCACCAAAACCTACTTAGAGCTTGATTGCACTTACATGTGTGTGTAAGCACAAATAGTAAAGAGATGTGCAAACCTCACTACATACTAGGATAACACTTAAAGTAAAGCATCAATGTGGTTTTAACTAGCCTAAGCACAAACAACTACAACATCTTAACCCCACAACATTTAGATGTCAATGACCTAGTGCACATGCATTTTCCCCATATCTTCTCGAGGACAACTAGCGAGAGTAATTCTAATATGTGAAATTGCCAACTAAGAATGTGATACATTGACATTGTATTCTCCATCAATTGCACCACACAATGTGAAACACTAACATTCTGTGTTGAACTCCCTTAATTCCAAACTATAAGTCACTTTGACTTTTTTGGTACATCTATTTTATTATGTCTATACATAAATAATATGTCATGATACATAGCAAAATAGATGAAATTAAAAGTCTAAGCGACTTCTAATTTGAAGCGGATCGAGTTGTTGTCAAGCGGTTCACTAAAACAACTTCAACTCTATCGGTTGAGCAGCTCGTATTATATGTTTTCAAGCTCTACCAAAACACCAAAATCTAGTTATGTTGTCAAGATTCAAGAACTCGATTAATTTTTCAGAAGCAGTATTATATGTTTTCATTTTGCAACATATACAAATTATATATAAATGCCTATTTTTTACCAAATCTAATAGGACACAATCCAATTCTACAATTGGATCTGGTCAAGCTGCTCGGGATGCGATCATTTTCGACGCGATTGTTGGCATGTGTAAGTCGCAAGGCCTGATAGATATCGGCCCATCCTGCCCTTCGCAAAACGCGAATCGACGTCGGCAAACTGCCCAGCAGCCCAGGCCCCTTCTCAAACAAAAAAAAAAACAGCCCAGGCCCCACCTCCTCAGGGACCTGCACGGTAATAATAAACCTCCAAAAATTCCAACCCAAAGCGCCCAAAGACACACGATTTCGCACGGCTTGGCGGCTTCCCGCTCACATTTTCGGCTCGCACACCCCCGCTTACCGCCTAAACCACCCGGACCCGCGGCATCACGCGTCCCCACGCCAAACCACCCCCGCGCGCTGAAATCCCAGCCGTACCGCGCATCCAACGCCTCAGAGACCGCCATCTCAGCGATCCGCGCCGCCACGGCTTCCACCAATCACGTCCCGCCTCACCTTTCTATATAATCCCACCGCATCCTCCATCCAGAAAACACAGCCAAAAGCCACGAGCACTCGACAAATTCCAAATCCGCCGCTTCCCACCTCGCGTTCGCCGCTCCATTTGATCGATTCCTGATGGCGCCCAAGGCCGAGAAGAAACCCGCCGAGAAGAAGCCGGCGGAGGAGAAGGCCGAGAAGAAGCCCAGGGCGGAGAAGCGCGTGCCCGGCAAGGAAGGCGGCGAGAAGAAGGGGAAGAAGAAGGCCAAGAAGAGCGTCGAGACGTACAAGATCTACATCTTCAAGGTGCTCAAGCAGGTGCACCCGGACATTGGTATCTCGTCCAGGGCCATGTCCATCATGAACTCCTTCATCAACGACATCTTCGAGAAGCTCGCCGCCGAGGCCGCCAAGCTCGCCCGCTACAACAAGAAGCCCACCATCACCTCCCGGGAGATCCAGACCTCGGTGCGCCTCGTCCTCCCCGGCGAGCTCGCCAAGCACGCCGTCTCCGAGGGCACCAAGGCTGTTACCAAGTTTACTTCCTCTTAGGTTGCTGCGGCACGGTGCTACGGTCCTGTTTCGTTTCCTCGTGTGTTTAGGCCAGTGCTAGGTTGCTCGTGGAACAATGTAGAATTTGTTGTATCTGCAGAATGATAATCAGTTACCCTTGTGGAAGTTTCTAATATATTGCAATGTGCTAATATGATTTGCTTGTACGATTCTTGCATGCGGTGCTGTTTAAATTTGCGACAACCGCCAAGGTTTTTACATCTCGTACTATATTTGGCGCCAATATTTGCTTGGGATTGCCTGGGGTTAAAACAATCTCCTGGACGATGTAATGTGTTCAGGGGTTTATGGGTAAACAATATTTGTCAGAAATGTTTGAGGCACTGCTATGTGAAATCTGATCGCCTGATTTGTGACAATGTTTTCCTTGGCCAGATTTCAGTATTCACATCCGGACAAATTAATTTGTGCCCATGGACTTCTAACTGAATTTATCACAAATTGCAAGAAAATGATATAAAGCTTTGTGTTGTTTTCGGAGTTTGGACGATTTGTGGCACCATGCACCTGACTGGGGAGGCTCATCTTTGTTCTCGTCTTTAGGCACAGTTAGGCCCTGTTTGGTTCCTACAAGAGATCTTCTAAAATTTCTGTTACATCGAATGTTTGAACATATGCATGGAGTATTAAATATAGACTAATTACGAAACTAATTGCACAACTTGCGACTAATTTACGAGACGAATCTTTTAAGTCTAATTAGCCCATGATTTGACAACGCGGTGCTACAGTAAACATGTGCTAATGACAGATTAATTAGGCTTAAAAAATCGTCTCGGAAATTAGCCTTTATCTATGTAATTGGTTTTGTAATTAATCTATATTTAATGATCCTTATTAGTATCTAAGTATTCGATGTGACATAAATTTTAGGAGCGACTAAAGAATCAAACACCCCACTTACTTTCAGGTTTCCTTTGCTGTTGGGATTGAGGAAGGGACTTTTATTATTGCTGCTAGCTCAATGCAGTGATGAAGGCTGAAATCTGATTATTCATTCTTCCAGCAAGCATTGATGAAGTGCAGTCTGGTCTGGTGTGTTCCTCATGTACTAGTAAGTTCAAAAAAAGACGATGACAAGTAAACACATTTACCAATAACCTCTCTTGGATACTCATTTGTTATTACTATCACACAATTGAGTAATCACGTTCATCTTCCATGGAATAAAAACATGCTTCAAGCATCGAATAAATTTCATCACTCTGATGATGCCTAAAGTCTCCATTGGAGAAGACATGGACCTTGTCCTGGACCTCAATCCAACTACAGCCGGTGATTCTCTTCAGCCCCTTCTCCTTAATCTCCCTCCTGATCATAGACACACTTTGCCAGCTTCCTGATGCAGAGTAAACATTTGACAGAAGAATGTAGGAAGATGTGTCCTGTGGATCCAATGCATGAATGCGCTTTGCAACACTCTCAGCCAGCTCCCTGTTCCAGTGAATCTGACAGCCCCCTACCAAAGCCTTCCAGAACCCAATGCCTGGCTCAAAGGGGAGCTCCTCAAGAAACCTCTTGGCATCGTCAAATCGCTTGGCACGAGATAGTAGATCAACCACACAAGCATAATGCTCAGGTTTCAGTATGCCGGGTTGCTCCATCTCTGCGGTCTTGAACAATGCATAACCTTCATCAACCAGACCAGCATGGTTGCAACCAAACAGCAAGCCGAGGAGAGTGACATTATCTGGCTTGAGGCTCGTTGCTCTCATCAACCTGTAAGCATCCAAAGCCTCCTCTCCCTTCCCGTTCTGTGCATACCCGCAGATCAGTGCATTCCAGGAGACCACGTTTTTCCGATTCATCTTTTTGAAAGCCAAAACACTGTCCTCCAAGCTACCGCACCTGGCATAGAAGCTCACAAGAGAATTACCTATATAAACGTCAAGCTTGCCCAAGAACTTGATGGCTGATGCATGAACGCTTCTGCCAACGCCAAGTGCCCCTGCATTGGCAACAGAAGTGAGCACGCAGGGGAAGGTGCTTTCATTCGGTGTGATGCCTCCTCGACACATTTTCAGGAACAGATTGATAGCCTCCTCACTGAGACCGGCTTGACTGTACCCGCCGATCATCGCGTTCCAGGAGACCACGTTCCTCTCTGGCATGCGCCGGAACAATCGGTCTGCTTCATCAAACATTCCATTCTTCAGCAAACCGGCAATGAGGGCGGTGTAGGACACCACATTCGGGTCACAGGTGTCATCGAGCGCGCCCCGGGCCTCCCTCATGGCGCCCATCTTCGCATAGTGGTCGAGGAGGGCGCTGCCGACGAAGACGTTGGAGCAGAGGCCGAGCTTAGCAGCGCAGGCGTGGAGCTGCACACCGACGCGCGGTGCTCGAAGAGCGGTGGCCGAGCGCAGGACGGTGCCGAAGGTGAACTCGTTGGGCGCGACGCCGTCGGCGAGCACTTGGGAAAACAGTGCCAGGGCGTCGCGGTGTCGCCCGCGGCGGGTGAGCGCGCCGATGGCGGCCGTGGCACAGACGACGTCCCGGTGCGGCATTCCGTCGAGCAAGTTGCGCGCGGGTGACAGGGCAGTCCGTCGTGGGCACTGGGCGCCGCACGACTACCACATGATGAGTTGCGCCAGGGGTGATGGGGAGCCCCGTCAGGATTTCGTCGTACACGTACTGGGTGCGGGTGCGCCGCGGCGGAGTGCGGCGGTACCCAGTGCGCGTGCGCCGATGTGGAGGCCGACCCAGCGGGCCCGGGCTTGGAGGCCCGGATGGGGATTGGGGAGCCTCAGGGAGTGCGGCGACGGCTGCGCGTGTGCGCCCTCGTGTTGGAACCGGCGGACTCAGCGTGGCGTCGCTGTGCGGCTGCGCGTCGTGCCACCTGCACAAGGGGTGGGGGCTGCACGCCGCGGAGGCCCTCGGCAGTTTGTGCGCGAGTACGCCGGTAAAGCAGAACACGCCCCTCCTCAAGTGCTTGAAATGCTAATGGCGTTGATGTGCAGACAGCGGTCTTCACAGTTCTGGTAAAATATATGCAATAATGAATAATATCATGGTGGTTTCAATCTGTTCTCTGTTGGAACAGACTCTTTTGCATCAGTCAAATTGTTGGTGCTGGTTTCAATCTGTTCTCTATTGGGTTTCTGTGTTTCTTATGGCTCATTTATTTATATCATAAATCTTTTAAACTGATCAGTGGCTCATTGCTTATTGCATGGTCCCATACTCAAGCTAAGCACTGCAGTATATCCCAGTGGGATTGGGCAGAGTAGGATATACTGACGCCCGTAAACTGCGTATTTGATTACCTCACGTCCACAGTTCGATCTAAATCTGACGCCGGTAAACTGCGATCAGGAGTACAGAAGGAAAAACAACCCAACAAACTACAGTGAGGTCTATCAATGGTGAAAGACAGAATCAGAAACGAAACTGCGATAACGATCCACGGACACAGGATTGGTGGATTGATGCATACACGAATCGTAATCTGTAGTTACATCTGTTACAACTGCAATAAGCAAAACAGAGATACATCTCGCTCGTTCCAAACTTCCTCTGTGGACAGCCTTGCAATCTTCAATTGGTGAATTAGAAGCAATGAAGCATACAATATGACAATAAAGTTTGAATTATTCTATCGGCAGTTATCTCCAGAGAAAAAAAAATCTCCTGCGACTTGAGCAAAATAACTGAAACTTTCTATGGAACATAGATACACTAGCTCATAAGCCGTCTGATTCCGAGGTCTTGGTGATTCTAGGTCCTGCCCATTGTTGGCTAGCACGTGACTTGGTCCATGGATCAAGAGGAACTCGTTGACGCGGCGGCGGTGTTGCTGGTTTGGGCTCTCGAAGCTCATTCTCCCTGTCCACGAACCTGCATATGACATAACGGATAAATACATGACTACAAGGAATCTGCTATATGTCATTTGACGGGTTACTGCAGTCTGACTCATATTGAACTATTTGAATGTAACAATGTCAAGCAAAGCCAATCACTCCCTCCATTTTTTTAATATATGACGTTTAGGACAAGCTAAAATAAACTAATTAGCTTGTCCTAAACGTCATATATTTAAAAACAGAGGGTGTACTTGGCTAGAAATATATACTCAGCTCCTTTCACTAAAGGAAGTACCAAGGAACAATGAACTTGCAACAAGCACCAAACTATAACACCCTGTGAGAAACTGTATGGGTAAAGTCGGTCTCCAAGAAATAGATATAGAATGTTACTCGATGTATGCCATTGTTGAAGCATCACCAGTACGTATCTTGGTTCTTAACATTCTTGTGTATCCGCCAGCTCGATCTCTGGAATATAAGAATATACAATTAGTTCCAATCCACTCTGCTTCCAAATACATGGCATTCTATTCTACTTTTCACATTTGTGTTATCATACAAATCATTATACAACTTTTAGATGAATAGTAAAAGTTTTTAATGCCAAAATCTTCATATTATTGCTAGAACTAAGGTTCTGGAATATACATTAAATATTGTACTGTAGTTGTTCTCCTTATGCCTTATTGCCTATTTCAGACATCAAAATCACAACATCACACCAATTCTGAAATAGGGCTAGTCACAAATCGAATGCAGATACTGTAAATTGTGTGAATCCATGTGTAGGTAAAACAGATTACCTGTAGCGGTAGGCCAGCTCAGTGAATAGCTTATGAACGACATCATCACCCCGAACAAACGCAGCAGCACGTCTTGTTGCATGCTCAGTACCCTACATATCGTGTCAATATATGATATAAGTTTCTGCATTGTTGGCTTCGAGACATCAAGTCACCAAAAATCAAAACAAGACCCAGGCCAGATAAAAATAAGTTTGAGTTGCAAATAAGCTTCTAAGGAAGGGCATAGGGCTCTAAATCATATGCCTATTGCATACACCTCTGGGACATTTTTTTTCTGGTTCTGACAAAAGAATAACATATCTAGGACTACTGGGTGTCCACAAAAAAGTTTAATCCATGACTAAGGGCTCCTTTGACACAGATTCTTGCCGCTGATTCCTTTGAGAAACCAGCAAATCCCCGTCAGATGCCTTTTCTTCTGTCGGCTCCATGTGGGAATCACAGTGAATTGATTCGCCATTTTGCACACGTGAGGCAAGTCAGTCAAAACCTCATTTCACGTGCGACTAATCAAACTGTTTCACCAACTGCATTATCCCCTGTCGCTACGGTTGGCTCTCCTTGGCGCTGAGCTCCCCATTGGTGGGAAGCTCGTCCTCGGATGTGAGCTCCCTGTCGGGGTCAAGCTCGCCCTTCATGCTGAGATCCCGGTCCCATCTCTCCTCCGTGCCAAGCTCCTCCTTGATGGCAAGCTTGCCCTCCATGCTGAGCTCTCTTTCACAGCAAGCTTTCCCTCCACACTGATCTCTCCCACGCCGAGCTTGCCCTCCATGTTGAGCTCCCATGCAAGGCAAGCTTGCCCTCTGCACTGAGTTCCCTTCCACGCCATGCTCGCCCTTCACAATGAGGAACCCTGGTGCCCACTGAGGCCTCCCATACAGCCAGTGAATCAATTCAATTTGTTGCCACCCTTCGCACAGATGGAGAAGGAATGCGGTCAATTTATCCTCTCTTTTAAGAATTAGAACCCAACCAGCTATTCAAACGATTGCACAGCTGAATTGATTAATCAAAGAAACACGTTCAGGGCACTGGGGGAGCCTCCTGGAGGTGAACCTGGGCAGTCCACCTCCACCCCCCCACCCCCCTTCTCTTGCCATCTACTTATTCCATGAGATAGGACTGTAAACTGAAGAGAAAAAAGGCTAGTACTTGATAGAATGCTATGTTTTCTTTGCTGAAGACAATTACTAATTTCTAATAAGAGAAGGTATTAAGAAAACTAGACTGAAGCAGTAAAATGTTTCTATATATTGATTTGTACTCAACAATTTGGTTTCCCCCTTGTTTAATCCCCACGCTCCGCCGCTATTTCAGGGTGAATTTGAATAACTTCCAAAGTGAATCAGAATCTGGAGCCATGCCAAATGGGTCCTAGGATGTTAGGGTTATTGGATCCTTTATTACAAATTAGCATTGACAACAAAAGATGCTAAGTTCCGTGCCAGAAACAAAGATGCTGGTCTGCATACTCGATTAAAACAAAGGTGTTGGTCTGATTGCTTAAAACTTTGCTTTGCTTAAAAAGAGCTGGAAAGAAACTACTTATAAGTGTCCATTGAGATTTCAATGAATCAGAGTGTCAAATAAATAGACAGGAAGCATTATTTCTGAAGTGGTAATCAGACAATCAGTGGCCAATAGTGTCCAGCTCCAATTCAGGCAGCAATGCATACAGGCCATGTGGAGAAGTATCTCATCTGAATTGTAGAGGTGAATCGTACCGGCTGCTGAGAAGCAGCAGCGGCCAAATATAGGAACACTGATTTCTTTCTTACAAATACTTCTAACCTATGCGCATACTTCGCAAAAATGATTGCTGGGTTGTTTACAGCCACTGCCTGCATAGATTCATGGATACCACGAAATGCCCCGATATTTCACGCAGGAATTTAATTAGCATCAGGGGACTTGTGTTCCAATTACCTCCTTCCCTAGCTGCACCATCTGATCCGCCTTCCGCCGGACCTCCTTCGCCTGAAACGAACCACGGCAAAGGAAACGCATTCAACGATCACCCCTCCTGGAACACAAATCCTGCCCGCGCCACCACAGGCCCCTGCTCGAAGAAACACCGGTATGAGAAATAAAGTACCTTGGCGAGGGTGGTCTCGATGCGCTCGTGCTTCACCAGCTGTGACACCATCGTCCTGCCGAGGAGACAAATCCAGAGGTTAGCGGCAAGGCAACGTAGAGGCTAGAGCCATAGGATAGAGGCGTTGATGCGGGTTAAAAGCAAGACCTGAGCAGGGAGAGGCGGTGGGAGTAGTCGCGGCCAAGCTTGCGGAATTTACCCATGGCGACGGCGGGGAGGAGGAGCAGGCGAGCAGCCGGCGACGGCGAGGGTTGTGAGGGGTTTGCGAGCCGGCTCGGTGCGGACGGAACTCTGTGCGGTCTCGCTGGGCTCGACTGCCGTTCGACTCATGGATCGAACCGGCCTGATGACCGGTGTTTGAATGGGGCCTCATGGGCCTTCACTCACTTCACCCATCAGTCCTAGTGCGTTTCGGCCTTTGGGCCTCTGTCAGCTATACGCGGTTTGTGTAGACCACTTGGCCCAAACAGGACAAGCAGAAAAGGCGTTGGGTGATCTCAACGCAACACGGTACTGGAGTAGAGTAGTTCGCTTGCTGTCCCGTCCAACGTCCGAACCTCCACTATGATCTCCTGCTACAACGGTGTGCGGCCGACGCATGTTCTCTGCAACTGCTGTACCGGATCGCATCGAAGAAAACCGATCCCATTCCCATCCCTCCCTCCCTCTCGTCCTCTCTCTTCACGGCGGCGTGCGCTGGACCGACGCGGTACGTGAAGAAAAGGCGCGCAGCAGCAGAAAGCAAACGGATCAGTGGCAAGAGTACACTCTCCGTGACCCTGGAGATTCGATCGAGCTCTACTCCCTCCCTAAAAAAACGCAATTCGAACCTGTACACACGTCATGTCAAGGTTTAAAGTTAGAATTGTATTTTTTTTTTGTACCGAGGGATTACCACGGTGCACGACTCCAGCTCTGTTCGGGCTGATCTGAGGCCTCGTCGGTTTCTGCTGCTCTTAAACTCTAGCAAAGATCGGACGACCCGTTGCATGTCTCCGACGCGTGCACTGCTGCTCTGTTTGCAGACGCGCGCCACAAGCTTCCAGCTTTAGCAGGTCTCACCAACGCACCGCAATAATAAACAATAACTCTGGTGTTTGTTTTCCTGCACTTGGAGACGGATGTGGACTTTTTTCCCGAAGCTCTAAATCGCATGCCAGGTAAGGCAGGAGTACCTGTATTTTTCTGCTCCTACCGACCAAGCATCGTTGGCTCCGCCGAATCTGCCATTCCAAATTAAAGAAGAAACACGCGTCGGCGTCCAGTACGATGAGCCTCTGGACAGGAATGCAGGATACCGGACCGGCTGCGTGAACGCGAGCCATCGATTGCTCGCCTGACCGAAAGCTCGAGTAGCCACGGCGGTTAATCAGTGCGCTACGCTTACCGGGGCGCGGTAAAGACGAGGAATTGCTGTAAAAAGGCAAAAACAAGCTCACACCACACGCGGGAGAGCAGCGTGACGAGCCGCGCGCGGATCTCGACGCCCGAACGGCCCAGCGCGGTGGCCGCGCGTCTGCTCCGCACCGCCCCGTCCCGTTCGTCTCCGTCTCCGTGGGTCAAACGCAGTCGCGATCCCCCGCGCTCCCCGGTAGCTGCGGCCTGCCCTCCCCGGTGTCGCCGCCCGCCCGTCGTGCGCTCTCTCTTTCCGCACCTGGCGCGGCATTGCCGTCTCGTCTCATCCCGTAGCCGGTGGAGCCTCCCACCGCCTGTCCCCTGCGCCAGTAAATACTCAAATTTCCCGGTGTGATTTCAACTGCCCAGGGAGCCGCTGAGAGGTGGGCCACTGGGCACCGGGGGCCCAATCCTAAACGGCTTTGATTAGCCTAAACGTGGTCTGTGGTGGCCCCTCCTCCCCTCTCACGTGGCTCGGATTAGTATACTTGTCCCATCTTCTCTCATGCATGCATACGCAGAGCAGCGGGTTGGAACTCGGAGGCCCCAAGTGGGCAGGACAGGGATTGCAGCCTTCCCCTGCACGCAAATGCTTCCTACATCAGCGCGGCATACCCGTGCTCGATCCACTCACATGATGCACAGCACAAGATCATTTTTGTATGCGCAAGCGCAGACACGCATCAGACATCAAAGCAGAACGTAGAGCCAGTAAACAAATCGTTGGAAACTTGGAACGGTCCGGAGTATGAGGTACTACACACTTTTTACAGTGCGATGGAGAGGCCTTGGTCTTGGACCAGCAGGGACTGCCATCTTTCCTGGCCTTGGACTCGCCGGCGCGTCTGGTCAGCGTCGATTCGCCGTGCCCCAGGCGTTGTGCCTGGTGTGGGCCTCGTGAGTCAAAAGCGCAAGTTAAAACAAATTGCTCTGTAGTACTCGCTGGCAGCGCTAAACCAGCTGCCATTTTTTTCACCATCCTAGAAGTCTTTGCAACCCGGCAAGCCTCCTTAGCTAGTCAACACCGACAGTAATTAAGCTCCTGTTAATAAGTACTAGCAGCAGCACTTCCCATCATAGCAGCAATTAACGCACAAGGACGGTCTGCCTGCCATACAAAAATGCACTGCTCCAGCAGCTAGTTGACCATAAGAGCCATAGAGTAACCAAGGAGAAAACAACAAGATCAGGCAGAGTTTTCTACCAATCTTTTTTTTCTCAGTTGCCTTTCACAATCACAGGTCACAGGCTCCACAGTTTCACTTCGGTTAGTGTACACCAAGCCACACACAGTGACACATCGCTACGGTTGCAGTGCAAGCTGGTCCTAGCACGATTTCAATGCCTGCATCACAGTGTGTGCGCTGCGCCTCTGAGCCCTTTCTTTTGCACCTTCCCTTGTGTCGCACTCGCGCCATTTAAACGCTACGAGCTCGCTAGCTAAGCTAGTGCTCCATCGACGAGACGACGCCAGCGACAAAGAGCGCGGCGGTTTGGTAAGCATGGCGGTGGTGGTGGCGGGCAGCAGGGCGAGAGCGGAGCAGGCGAGGCTGCAGTGGCGGGAGCAGGAGCCCAGGAGCCCCGAGATGGCCGCGCCGCCAAGGCCGCCCAGGCTGCGCCCGGCGAGGGCGGCGGTCGTCTACTACCTGGCGAGGAACGGGCACCTCGAGCACCCGCACTTCATGGAGGTCGCGCTCTCCTGCCCCGACGGCCTCTACCTCCGGGGTACGATACGAATGCTTTCCTTGCGCCAGCTTCTCGTGATCTCGTCGCATTTTGCCTTCCGCTGTAATGGCGCTCAGCGTTCTGCTCTGTGTTGCCGTTGCGTTTGTGCGCGCAGATGTGATCGACCGGCTCGACGCGCTGAGAGGAAAAGGGATGGCGCGCATGTACTCATGGGCGTCCAAGAGGTTCGGGGCGTCTTCTCTCGTTTTGGTCAATGCTGCAAAGTGAAAACTAGTGTGGTGCACCCACCACGCCGTAACATGCGTTCCTCGCGATTTCGCTGCAACGCAGGAGCTACCGGAACGGCTTCGTGTGGCACGACCTGGCGGACGACGATTACATCCACCCGGTGGTCGGCCGGGAGTACGTGCTCAAGGGCACCGAGCGCCTGCACCCGGTGCCGCCGGCGCTGCTCGACGCGGCGACCGCGTCCTCGTCGTCCTCCGGCTCTCAGGAGACGCCCACGTCCTCGTCCTCTGCCAGGTGGGAGGCGCACGGCAGGCCGGCACACCGGATGAAGAGCGCCAGCGCATGCGGCGCGGCTGACCTTGGCGAGTACGTGGTGTACAAGGGCGAGGAGCGCGCGGCGGACGCAGCGACGCAGACCGAGGACAGCCGCGGTCACCAGAGGCGCCTCCTGGCTCCCGCCGCGCAGGAGGAGCTGAGCAGGGCGGAGACGTCGCCGCCCACGGCGTCGACGAGCCCCGAGACGCTGGAGGCGCTGATCAAGGCGGACGGGCGCGTCGTGGCGGCCGTCAGCGGCAGCGGCCGGGCCAGGGCGTCGTCCGTGCTCATGCAGCTCATCTCGTGCGGGTCCGTGTCCGTGCGGGACGCGCGCGCCTCCCCGGTGATGCCGCGCTCGCACCACCACAATCACCACCACCGCGGCCGCGCCCGACCGCCCCGCCCGCCGGCGTCCGCGGCCGTGGAGCTACCGTCGTACCGCGCCAAGATCGTGGAGGACAAGGAGTACTTCAGCGGGAGCATCATCGAGACCGCAAAGCGCTCGCCGGCCGACGACGTGACGTCCCAGGACCTGGCCGTTCTCCGGCGGTCGTCGTCGTACAACGCGGAGAGGTAAGGAACAACGAGACCCATCCCTCTCGCAATCAATGGCGCGACGGCGCGAGCGGCAGGCGCCGGAGACTGATCCGTCGCTTACGCGAGACGCCTCTCTCGCTCATAGTCATATGCCGCCCAGGAGTAAGGATGAGCCGCCACTGTTACATTGAACCAACCAGCCTGTCCTAGTCGGGGAGTTAAGGCTCTGGCTCGCCCATGGCCGCAGCTGAACCCACCACGCCATTGCCGTACGCGCAAGATACGCCCGAGTAGTGGTCACCTCCATAAATAGAAGTAGGTCTAGCGGAGCTGTCGCGCACCAGGCACCACGGCACTGATCGCTAGGACGGGGTAGAGAATTTCGTCAGGAAGGAATGGCCGGGGCTTCAATTCTTGGGTACCGTTTACTTCCCTTCCAAAATGCCAAAATTTTCAAGATTCTCTGTTACATCGAATTTTTAGACGCATGTATGAAGTATTAAATATGAATAAAAAATAAAACTAATTGCACAGTTTAGACGAAATCCACGAGACGAATTTTTTAAGCCTAATTAGACTATGATTGGACACTAATTAATAAATAACAACAAAAACTGCTACGGTGTCATTTTGCCAAAATTTTCGGCAACTAAACTGGCCCTTAGCCGGGACCTGCTCCTGTTCCGTGCGAGCTGCCGAGCTGGGCAGGCTCGGGCGCACCCAAATCCCTAAGCCGCTTTTGGTGCGCGCACGCTCTACGTTTCAGAAGGATTAGTGTGAAGCTACTCATAAACTGGTTACTACTGCACGGTTCGTTCTTTGAAAGAGTAACCCTGAAGACTGATGTGAGCTTGTAACAGCAGGCTTTGTCAGGCATCTCAAACCTTTGCTTTGAAGCAGTGATCGCAATCGGGGTCTGAACAACCTGCATCATTTACGAGTGCCTAGAAATAAGAAATTGTACATACCCCTACACTACTGCCATGTGTGACGTACGAGAATAGTGATGATGAGATAGTGATATGATGATTATATGATCTGAGCCGTGCTGAATACTGAATACGATGAGTACATGTCAGGGTGATAAAGCTGGAGCTGGCAAAGGAGGCCGGGGACCTGCATGACCGCTGCATCCCACGGAAGCCCAAGGGCAAGAAAGGCGGCTACCTGGTCATCTCCTGCAGCGCGCAGGGGAATAATAAGGGATGACGTGGGCGTCTTCGTTGGTAGCATATGGCCGTCGTCCGGCGATCGATGAGCTTAGCTAGTCCCTCCGGAAAACGGCGACCTGGCGTGGCGCCGGCCTATGTGCCTTCTGCTTGTTAGATGCCTCGTTGTCTGAACTTTTTACTGCCTAGTAGATAAGTGTCCAGTAGTCCAGTTTGATGCCGTCTGCTTGTTAGATGCTGATTGCTGAATATGCCTGTGATTTCCGTGAGAGCTACCACTTTCATGTTAATACGTGTTCTGTCTGCCTCGTTGTCTGAACTTTTTACTGCCTAGTGATCTGATTCTCTTCTGCTAGTGGGTTTAAAACTATTCTTCGCGTGTTCACGTACTGTACCGTATACGCGTGATGAGCCCGGGCCGTGCTGCTGCGTGAATACTGAGAATCGTGATGGATGTAGTACATGGTAACACGGTGCCGATGAGTTATGCTATTATTATTACTTCCCGTCCTCAGATTCCTCCCGGAGTCCCCAGCACTAGAATCTGGGCAAAGCAGGACTACTCGATTGTCACTTCATTCCCCTGGGGAGGTTCTTCAGTGAGGCGGTAAATTTTTGGTGCAGTGGCAAAAAGAATAAGATGATGATCAGACAGTTCTGTCCCTGCTACTACTACTTCACCTTACAATTTTTCTGCCTACAAACTAGCTAGCACGGTCCCCACGATGATGTGATCAGCTCTCATCCTGAAGCCTGGTCCATTTCCTCTCACATCGATCTCTTTCCTGACTGATATTTGGGCTGTAGTAGTGTGCAAAACGTGATTAGTAAGTACAGTACTACTAGCTTACAATGGTGGCAATCTTGGGGAAGACGTGGCATATGAGTGACAAGTCGAGAGCGTCACCAGTGCTGTGGCTTGTGGCACTCAACAAAGAGGTCTGAATACCGGTGGTTCCAAGTTGCAACAAGTTCCTGCGAAACCCAGAGCTCAAAACGTTCGGCCGAGCTATTCCAGGACCAATGGTTGGGCCGGAACAGATTCCCTGAAACCTGGAACGGGCCAGTTTTAAGGAGGTTGGACTTTTCGGCTCTCTGGAAGTCTGGATGAACTTTTTTTTTCCCCAAATAGTCTGGATGAACTTCATCACATCACAGTTTTTTTTAGTTTTATGAAGACCCAGTAACCTGATCACATTTTTTTTTTGCGAACAAACCTGATCACAAATTCGACGAGGAACCAGCCTTGCTGCGAGTTTTGCATGGGAAACGTTTCACGGGGCGGCACTAACTAGAGGAGAGATGCTAGCAAAAACGAGAAATTTCACTAAACCACCAATTGACGCAACAAGCTGTCAGATCAGTAAGTTTACATACAACAAATGAATTGCAATCGAATGACAGCTTTACTTCAAAGAGCAAAAGCTAAGCTTCTTTTGATATTTATCTTTTCCTTCTTTCCAATCTTTGTCACTAATTTTCAATAGAGAGACCTCATTCCCCAAATGAGGAACTACTTCTATGTTTTATGCATCCTCCTTAACTCTTGCTCAGTGGTGGAGGGGGAGGGGGGCTAAAGCCCCTACAGATTCTTTTTTTTTAGATTGTTGGGTGGAGGACCATTTCATGAATTGGGTGGAATCATTTTATATGTTTCAGTTTCTTTTCTTTTGGTAACAAAGCTATAAAGCCAAAGTCTGAAGCTGAAAAGAGGTAAATCTTCAAACAACTATATAGGGTTATCTTACTTTTACTGAAAAGAGGTAAATCTATTCTCGAATAACATTAATAATAGGCCTTGAATAGAAAAAGGATACAAGCGTGATACACATAGAGCATCAAATTTATAAGACTATGTTAAACAACTCTTATTTTTAAAGAAGTCATGATTCAGACAGCTCGTGCACAAAGGATAGAGATACCTCGTCCCCCAAATGAGGAACTACTTCTATGATTTATCCATCCTCCTTAACTCTTGTGTAGAGATAGGGGAGGGGGGAGGAGGGGAGGGGGCACAGACCCCTATGCACATACAATTTCTATTGAAAGTTTTTTAATTTGACTAAACTTTGAAGAAATTTGTTCTGTTGGCCTCCCTAAAAAAGTAAAAATCATATTTTGGCTCCATCACTGCTCTTGTTGTTGGTATATTTCTAACATACCAATTATTTTGAAGACCCTCCTTTGTTTGGAAGCAATGATCAATATCGTTATTCACTTTAACAAATATGCATCCTTTTCTAACAAACCGCCCAATCGAACTGCACCATTTCTATGAAAAAAGACTTCATTCGTAAATATTATTGTACAGAGGACCATTTCACTTAATTTGTTGTGTGCTTTCTCAAAATCTAATTTGAGAATAACACCATTCAATTGCTTCCTATACAATTCATGTAAGATTTTGTGGTGAATGCCAACTCCTCCTATAATGTATCTACCTAATATATGAACACAACTTGTGTAGCTTTAAAATTTTACGAGCTACACCCTTTTACAACTTATACGTGGTTGGAAAAAAAAATGAAGCTAGAATCCATAAGATGAATTGGGTGGAATTGTTTTATATGTATAGGTTCCTTTTCTTTTGGTAACAAAGCTATAAAGCCAAAGTTGAAGCTGAAAAGAGGTAAATGTTTAAACAACGCTATAAGATCATCTTGTATTACTTAAAAAAACCCAACGACATTCAGCAAATCATCAGGATTGAAGTGCTTTGTCGTGTTCCATCTATAAAATCACATCCATGACCTCTTCTCCCGTAAAGACTTGTGCAAGCAAATCATTATTGATATAACTTACTTGAAGGGTGTCATTAGTTTGTGATTCGATCAAAGATAATTATTGACTCCCCTCTGGTTGTACGATTTGAGCGCTTCGTCCCCATCCTGGAATTCTTGTCTTACTATACTTCCCATGAGCAACTAGTTGGAAGTGATTGTTATTACCCCTTTTTCGATAAATTGTGTGTTATAAATTTATTTCTCTTAACCACCAATTGAGTGGTTGACGCAACAAGCAGTTAGCTAACTATATTCACAATTTTACTTACAAACAAATGAATTGAACCGACCAATAGCTTTATACAAAGGAAAAAGAACCAACTAAATCCACGAACAACCTATGAAACTAAGCTAGTCATCGAAGAATTCCATTTCATGTTCTGGTTCCAAAATGTATGTAACCATTCATTTACAACTCTGAATCACCACGCACGCGTCCGTTTGTGCACGCTAAGCTATACAAGCAGGTTGAGCAGCTGAGGCTCGGAGCCGCGATCATCATCCGACTGCTGTGGACCTTGGCCATCGCCGCTGCCGCTGCCGATGCCGTCGTCGTCCAACAGGGGCAAGTTGAGGTCCGGCATGTCCCGGTCCGTCTGCGCCACGGGGTCGTCGTGCGCGGCGGGTGGCGGCGCCTCGCCCCTGTGGCGGCGCATGTGCCCGCCGAGCGCCTGGCCCATGGAGAACTCGAGGCCGCAGACGGCGCACTCGTGCACGCGCGCCCTGTCCCTCTCGGCCGCGGCCGCTGCCACCGCAGGGTCGCTGAGCATCCGCGCCTGCAGCCGCGTGTGGCTGGTGCGGTGCCCGCCGAGCGCCTGGAACGACGGGAAGCGCTTGCTGCACGTCTTGCACTCGAACACGCCCTCGGCCTCCATGGCCCTGCGGGCCGCGGCCGACGACGACAGCGTGAGCAGCGCCTCGGCGTGCGCCCGGAGGCCCTCCATCTCCTTGCTCTCCTCCGCTTCGTGTCTCGTAAGCGTCATGACCATCGAGAGATCAACCGACGTTTGCCGGTTCAATTCTCCTCCTTATATTATTGTAGTATAAGCAGCGAACTAAAATTCCACCGTTACGCGCACGTACGTGTTCATATATAAACCGAGTCGAGCGCGCTTGCTTGTGAGAGTTTGTGTGTGTGATGACTGGGCAGGGGTATCTGTGATGATAGAGGCGTTCACGTCAGGGCTTGTGCGAACTTGGCCAGGCCAGCGGCCGCTTGGATGTGATGAGGCTTGGACACGAAGAAACGTGACGCGGTCGCACTCGTACGTATCACACTTGGTCGTCGTCACCCGGGCGCGCGCCTCGGATCGGAACACATGGTCAATTACGTGTTGCGTGCTTTGCCACGCGTCCAGAAGCTAATTTCCGGTGGACACTCGCCCGTTCAGATGGCATGGCTCGATCATCCTGGAACTCGAGCCTACGCGACCGGCTGCCTCTGGAGTCTGGACCCACCCGCGGTCTCTTTTATCTGCGCACTTTCCACTGCCCGCTTCCAGCTAAGTGCAGGATGATCTACTGTACGTGCACGGCCGGGAACGTATCATACATGTGACGTCACCTTACCATGGCATGCAGTTTCGTGAAGAAGCCATATATCAGTCGGCATTCGCGTATGGATGATCGGTTAGTTAGAGTACTTGTTCACCATCGACCAACTTGTGTCATTGTGTGTACGTACATACGTACGTCGATCGCTTGCACACATGCATATCCATTCTTGACTACTCATTCCGTGAGTGTACGTGCATATCTTGACGAATCGAAAGTGCGGCGACCATTCCTTCACGGCAGAAGACGGCACGGTGCTAGGAGACGACGGCCGAACACCGCATCCGCATGGTTTGGTTTAGTTCCGTGCGCGGCGGGCGAGCGGACCACGCCGGCCGCGGGCGGCCACCCGCGAGTCCACACGGGCGCGCCGCGGCGGCGGACGTAACGTACGTAAGCTGTGATGCACGGATGCGCGAAGCAGGCGAGGCCAAGCAACAGGCGCCGTCACTTGGCCTGTGCGTGCGGGTGCGGCAGCCGACAGGCAGATTTTGTAAAAAAACCGGCGCGGAATTCTAGGCCTCGTTTAGTTACCGTTTTTTCACTTCTCCTCACATCAATTTTGCGTGCGGGTGCGGCAGCCGAATTATCAGGCAATCTTTTGAACTTAGTTTTGTTGAACAAACCGGCGCGGAATTCTAGGGTTGAATTTTTTTTTAATCTAAGGCCCTAGCTTCGTGGCTGACGTTTCGCTGGGTTATCGCGTGCGCTTTTTCTTGGGCCGGAAGGAGAGTACGAGTCCGCGAAGCGAGTTCGTGGAGTGTTCTCTCTGGCTCTTCTTGGTCAGAATTCAGAACACACAGGATCTGGATTCTGGAATCTGGAAGATAGAAGATCACCTGGACACTGGTACGAGTCAACTTGGGCTCTTTCATCTATACAGTAGATTTGATGTGTATGTGCATGCCGTCATGCGGGGCCTGACGCGATCGGCTGGTGGTACTGGTAGCTGCTCATGGAGCAGTTGGCTGTTTCGTTGCGATTGGAGGGAGGGTTACTCGAGAAGCAGCAGGTGGTTACAACTCGGGAATAATGGGAGGGGGAAAAGCAAGAGCCTAACATAGGACATGTGAGCGGATTTGACTTCTAACTTTTCAAGGGTTATTTTTTCCGCTTCTCCTTGCATGAATTTTAAGATAATTTTAGGCAACACTTTTATGCCACCAACTAGTATAAGTAAATTATTACTTTTGTGATTTGTTATTTGTCTTTGTGTATAACATAATTTTTTTCTCCTTGTCTTCCTATAGAAATAATTGTAAATTGTTAATTTTCTTTGTGCCAACATAAATTAGATTTTGTTGAGCTTGTGGTTTTTTTCTACCTGGTTTTTTATTCTCGGTACCGAAAATTACAGATTGCGTCTACAGAAATTGCATTAAAAAAATCTATAATTTTAGTATAAAATATATACAATAACCGTCGCCTGAAAAAAAACTAAAATTCAAGCACCTGAATTTTAGCAAGTCCCTTTTTTATTATCTGTTACGTGCTCCGAAAGGTAGAGACAGTAGAACGTAGAGGATAGGGGTAGAAATTTCACCGGGCTTTTTTTTTTGCGAACTAATGGTTCTCATCTCATGTGTTGATTTTGACAGCGCCCAAACGTGTGTGTGTGATCGTCGGTGGGTTCAACGTTCTACACGGGCGGAATGAAAATCTGGGCTAGGAATTCAAAAGCACATGTAGGAAGAAGAACGCGGATCTCGTCATTTTCTATTGTCCATGGCTTCATCATGCCGTCTTTGAACGCCGCCTTTCCATGAGAGGATTACACATGTTGAACATCTAGTTTGCGCTCATTCAGTTTTTTTTCTTTTTTTTTGTAATTCGGATCATTCAGGTGGACGCAGGATCAGGCCGAAAGAAGACGCGTTAGTGATGGGTCCGTCTATCTGAAGGCCCACGAGGCAGTTCACGTGTCGGGCCTCTTTGAGACATGGACCTAAACCTAATCCTGCCTTCAGTTCCACCCCACTAGTACGACTTGACCTGAATGTGCTTTGGCGACGTCGCCATTCGCTAGGATCCATCCACTGCAAGTCTAGTCCTTGGAAGCTTGGATGCAAAAACATGACCCATGTCCGGAGAGTAGCAGCCACGCCCACGCATACAAAAAGTAACCATGTTTCCATTTGCCATCTTGGTGAAGGGAGCAGAAATGTGCAGGACTCGGGGAGGAAAGACGGTCGTATCCATCCACTTCTTGTGCGGCCGGTGGACGGGAACCAGAACTCGGGAAGGAGCACAAATTTGGTGGAAAATCTGTTTGACCGGAGGTCCGGAGACGTCCGGGTCCGGGTCCGGGTCCGTTCCACACGTGGGTGGTCCAGCTACCACTACCACACCAGCGCGGCAGCGCCACATTTTCTGCGGTCTGTGCGGCTAGATTTGTGCTGATAAACGCGACTGGAATTTCTGCGACGCATGTTTTGGTGCCACGATTAAGTTACCATCTGCATCATTGCAGAGATAAAGGTAGGTCACATCTACATTGGAGAGTGACTGAGCTCGGATGGATGTTAGACAGCTAGCATGCAGTAATAGTTCTCCTTAGGAAACATTCGGATTGTTCCTGAGCAATGGGGTATTGGGGTGATTGAAGTTGGATCGTGCCTTCTACAGTTCAGACGGAGTACGTCAAGAGTTCAGACACAACCCATGTTTCCAAGGCATACCCTTGCTAAGCAAATACTAAATCGTAATCCACCTGTTACAATGAACACAGGAAAGATTCAGCGCGGACCTAATTGCACGTAACAGACAGAAAAAAGTCCCTGATAATGGAAGGAAATTAAGAGGGGCAGCAGAATTACAGTGCTGCCTTTGCAATTTGTATGTTGCTTTCTCAACTTTGAGTGTTTGACATATGATCAGGAATTGTATTTCACTGCCTACATATAATGCCTTAAACTAAATATATAGACATAAAAAGAGAGCATTCTCACAGAATGCAGCAGAACTATATTATTTCAGGGTCGAGACAGGAGCCTCATTTCATAACTCCAAATATTACATGCTAACAGACAGCTTCAAGTTTTAACTGATCAAATGATAAAAGACTTAGCTGAAGGGGGGAAACTTCCATTTTTCAAAAATATGTGATAGCTTCAGCTGATTTACAGAAGCGAGAAATACCACAACACATTAACCAAGGGAGTTAACACACCATGTATCATGTCAATTCCCAGGAATCAGCATAGAATTTTAATTCACATAACCAAACCATATATGCAATACATGCAGACAACAAAGCTCCCTGAACGCTCACATGACAGTTCATTCAAAGTTTAACACAATGCAGACTTTTTCTTTAATCAGACAAGGTATGGTTTTTAAATAGCAATGCAGCAGCATCAAATTACAGATGCATACATCAATCTCGACCATAGCAACACAGCAAACAGTGCTACCATACTATTATGGTAGCACCTCTTATTCCACTTATCGCTCCATGGGCACAGCTCAGTTTTCAGGGACACACGAGGCAATTACATGACACTATAAGATAAATAAACTGGTTCAGACAAAATCTCTTCAGAGATTTGAGTGAATCACACCCATAATACAATCAGAAGCACATACTTGGGGTTGGTGCAGGAGAACCCCTAGCAGCTGAGCCCGTTATCTTCGTCGCAAGAGGATCCCAAGCCTTGCCTTCAGTGTCGCTGCAATGCCCATTCTTGTTTGGATACATAGCAGTATTTGTTGCAGAATCACCAGTACCCTTTGCCACCTGATTCCTTAGACGGATGCGCTCGGCCCTTGACCCAATAGTCTGGCCAACAATGGAGGCTGCTATGGTGAATGCCATCGCAGTCCTGGGCATCACAACAGACTTCCTCAGCATTGCAATGAACGGAACAGCGGCATGGACAGCTGCAAACCACTGAGGAGAGAACTTCTTGGTGTGCTCCCGCCACACCCCAAGAGGGATGTTTGCCGCCATCCCCAGTAGTGCAATGGCTACCATCTTCGAGGGCAGAGGCTGTGGTCGCAGGGATTTCACAAGTGCCGTTCGTGCAAGGGCAGCTCGGACAGCAATCACAGCAGGTGGGCACTTCAGCTTCATACCAGCTGGTGGCTGTAAAGCCTTGGCGACAAGGGGCAAAACACCACTCATTGCCCGGTAAGACCGCGCAAGTGGGCACTGGCCATTTTCCAACCACTCATCGCTGAATGCCTCATGTGATGGTGGGTTGACTCCTTTTTGCTGAAAAAAGACCAATGGAAGAGAATGAGAACACTGATCCCATAAATTAGAGCAAGCAGAATAAGATAGCTACTGTTTTCTGATCAACAACACTCGCCTTTGGATATAGCAATGTAATGGATAACTAGGAATGTTCTGAGTTGGATGAAATGTAAAATAATTAACATTACACATTGAAACTTGGGTTGATATTAGGATGGAAAGAATCAAATAATATGGCCATAAAGTATCATCAGATGCAAATGGAATAAGACAAAGAATGAAGAAAAGAAGCGCTGGAAGTTGGAACACACTTTCATCGAAGACTGATCTGGTGTCTTGGGCTTCTGGTGGGACTGATCTAGATTGTTGGGCTTCTTGTTCTGCCTTTTGCCCTTACCGTTGAAGAAGCCAAAACCAAATGGTCCAAATGCTGATAGACTTATTGAGGCTGCTCTAGCAGCCAATGGATTAAATGGCAGAGCAGGTTCAGTCTTGACATCAATGCTCTCATTGTGATTTTCATCAGATACATATGATCTTTCTGAAAGGGGAATTATTCCGTCTCGGCCATGGAAAAGCTTGAATGCTGACTCAAAACCTGGTCCATCCTCAAAAATTGGACCCTTGCCTCCTTGGGCCTGCACAAAAGATTGTATTGTCAAGGAACAGATGAACCGATGACATTAATCGCTGCTAGAACAAAAGGTCATAGGAAGCAGATCTTACAGCTACTGGCAAAGCAGAAGTGAAGGAAAAGGTTGTAGCTCCATTGATGTTCCTCAGGAATGGGCATCTCTCAACATCCGGGTGGCTGAAAAGGCTCTGCGATGATGCTGATTCACTGAGAAAGCTGCCGAAAAACATTTCCATCCTGACAACAGCAAAATCAGATGCACATTAGCAAGTAATGACCTAGCAGGATGTATTTGATCTTGGATGATGAACATCGATACTAATATATACATCAGTGATACTACAAGTAGTTGAATGCCTCAAAGAATCATAACCGAGGGCCAGGAAAATAACAGCATGATTAAACATAACCATTTTGTCACCTGATAACTGAAAGAACTCTAACCACTTCCCAACACACAAACAAATGAAATATGAAGGACTGGAAAAATAATTAGTATTTAATAAAGGTTTGCAGGTGTGCATGCAAGTAGCGTACATTAGTTTACTCTATAGACAGTAGAAAAGGAAATACAGTGATGTTCGAGAAAAAAGAGAACGCTCTTGTTTTATCATTAGCTGTGATTCTGTAGTATCTTATAGGAAGTATACAACAATTTTGTCAAGAACACGAGAAATATCACGATAGAACTGGTTGCAACCACATTTTGTGGTACTGGCCATATAAAGTGAAATGTCCTAGGAACACTCATTCAGTGGCATGTTAGATGAATACACATAGATCTACACAATATGGCATTAATAACTTCCTGGAACTAAAGGTTATTATCTAGATGGACAGACAGCATATAAGCTTTTTTATTCATATATAAAGAAATCTGTTAGGATAGAAAGACATCCTATTGCAGTGTAATTTTAAACATTGCAACGCTATTCGGTAGACATGTTATTGCAGTGTGATTTAAACACTGCAATGCAATTTCATAAACAGGTATGCTACTATTATCTAAAAACAAATACAGCAGCACCATGGTCCTGCGGTAAGTCAGAAACAGTTTGTGAAGGACCTAGAATTACCATATAATATGACAGAATTGATGTATGCTTTAGGCATGATCAGCCCGAAAAGTGTAACCATTGACTGATTAGTTATTTAAGTTTCATACATGAGGTGGTCACTTTTTTTTTTGGGAGACAGTGCAAAAGGCACTCACTCCTACACAGGAGTTTGATACAGATTACACTGATATATTTGTTGTATTATTCTTCACATATCCTACCTAATCCTTCTCTTTGGCGCCTTATTTCTAATCTGTTGATCCTCAGCAATTTTGCAGCAAGAGATGTCTTGTATGAGCATTCCCCCCAGTGTCAGCATGTTATCCTGACAAATCAGGAGATCGAAACCCAAGCTAAACATGACAACCACGCACAACAGGTGACCTTTAGCCGGTCACTCGTGTTAAGGGGAACAAGGCGTGCCCTTGTCCAACATCGATCGGGAAAAAAAGCAATCGCATACCTAACCCCATTCCACATGCTCCCAAGTCCCAGCCCGGAGCCAAGCAGATCCCTGAATTGCTTAACATCCCGGCAAACCAGCAATTCCCTAAAGAATTCGGTACGAAAAATCAACTAGATCTGCCCGTGCGAAATCGAGACAATCGGAGCCCGCTTGCCAAATACGCTAATGGCTCTAACCCAATCGCTCCCAGATCATATCAACTGAGGCCTTCTGGATCCCCACGGATCAATCAATCATGGAAACCACCGCGAGGAACATCGTGGAAAATCATTGGGGATTGAGGGGGTGGGCGTTGGGGGGAGGTCTAATTCACAACGACGAGAGGAGCTGAGAGGCGGGAGAAGATCGGGAAAGGGAGAGAGGGAGGGCGTGTGGAAAGCAGTTACCTCGCCGAGTTCTTGGAGCGCGAGAAGTACGACCGGCTGGGGGAGACGAATGCGGAAGGGAGGAGAGGGGAATCAAGGAGTGGTTGTGTACTTGTGTCGCGTGGTTAGCACACCACGAACGGTTCGGCGTCGCGCGGCCGGCACACCGCTCTGCGTCTCTGCGCCACGCGACGTGGCGTGGAGAGTCTTACTCGGCGCGTGCGCGCCAGGAGGAGTAGCGACGCACGCGCGCTCGGTGCGGTAGCGACGCGGACGGAAAGTTCCACCAATTCCGATCCGTAGTTTCGGCCCACTGTTTGTGGAGTCCCGTTCCCTGCCTAGCTTATTTACTCTAGCTTATTTATTTTTCTCTTTCAGGATGGTGAGTGTAAAGATGGTAATGGGCGTGGTGCCCGCGGATACTACCTTCTTACGCCCGCGCCCGTCAGCTAAATCTCTCGCCCGCGCCCGCAACCCGCCACGGGCAACAAACCACGCCCGCGTCCTCCATCCGCGGGCATGCCCGTGTGCCCGCCAGATTGAGCATATACATAAACCATAGTGCATTATAAGAGATATGAAGATACAGATTCACAACAAATCGTGTATATATACATATATTTGCTTGTAGGTCCCACATGTCAGACTTGTGGAGCGGGTCTGGCGGATAAGCGGGCGAGGATAGCAAATTTCTTTGCCCGCGAAGAACTATCCTCTGGGTTCAGGATGGTACCCGCGCCCATGCCTGCGGGCAAGAAGTGGTGCCCGTATCCTTGCCCATCGGGTTCCATGCCCGCGGGCATGCGGGCATTCTGTGCCCGTTGCCATCTTTAGGTGAGTGTGTGGACAGTGAAAGGGCGGGGAGATAGTTTCACTTTATATATATATATATATATATATATATATATATATATATATATATATATATATATATATATAAAAGTAGAAGTAATAAACTAGAACACAAAATGGCAGAAATCAAGTTTGAAAAAAATAGTAGAGAGAAAATATTTAATATGTAATCATTGGTTGGAATGAAAAAGCCTTTCCATCGAATGGGCAAACTTCGAAATTCAGGAACTTTATATTAGCACATTTAAAACTTTGTACTTTAAATTTAAAACTTTGTAATTTAAAACATTATTTTCAAAATTCAAAAACTTTATACTAGCACGTTAAAACTTTGTATTTCAAGATTTTAAACTTTGTAATTTCAAACTTTACATTTTAAATTCAGGAACTTTATATTGGCCTATTTAAAACTTTGTACTTTAAGATTTAAACTTTGTAATTTAAAACTTTTAAAAAAAATCAAGAACTTTATCCTAGCACATTTAAAACTTTATATTTCAAGATTTAAAACTTTACATTTTAAATTTATGAACTATATACTAGCACATTTAAACTTTATACTCTAAGACCTAAAACTTTATAATTTCAAACTTTATTTTTACAATTGAGAAACTTTATACTAGCACATTAAAACTTGTTACTTCAAGGTTTAAAACTTTGTAATTCCATACTTTACATTTTAAATTCAGGAACTTTATACTGGCTCATTTAAAACTTTGTACTTTAAGATTTAAACTTTGTAATTTAAAACTTTATTTTTGAAATTTAGGAAGTTTATACTAGCACATTTAAAACTTTGTATTTCAAGATTTAAAACTTTACATTTTAAATTCAGAAACTATATACTAGCACATTTAAACTTTATACTCTAAGACAAACTTTATAATTTCAAACTTTGTTTTTAAAATTAAGGAACTTTATACTAACACATTTAAAACTTTGTATTTCAAGGTTTAAAACATTGTAATTTCAAACTTTACATTTTAAATTCAGGAACTTTATACTGGCTCATTTAAAACTTTGTAATTTGAAACTTTATTTTAAAATTCAGGAACTTTACACTAGTACATCTAAAACTTTATATTTCAAGATTTTAAATTTTACATTTTAAATTCAGGTATACTAGCACATCTAAACTTTATACTCTAAGACTTAAAATTTTATTATTTCAAACTTTATTTTTCAAATTGAGGAATTCTATACTAGCACATTTTAAACTTTGTATTTCAAGGTTTAAAACATTGTAATTTCAAACTTTACATTTTAAATTTAGAAACTTTATACTAGCATATTTAAAACATTATAAACTTTGTACTGCTGGGTTTAAAACTTTGAGATTTCAAAACTCTACACCTAAATTCAAGAACTTTATACTATCTCATTTTAAACTTTGTACTGATATGTTATGAACTTTATACACCTAAAAATGGAACTTTGTAATTCGAAACTTTGCACCCCATGTTTTGGAACTTTGTACCGTAACATTTGAAACTTTATACTACTAGGCGTAAAACTTTATCATCATGAAAATTGTTTCTAAATATATCCAACATGGATCTACTTTTGTAGATCTTGTCATAATGAATGTAATGGTGCAAACGGAATTAAAAATAGATGCTTGACAAAGAAGTTATCACATTTTAAAGTTTGTATAGTGTTTACAAATAAAAAGCAGATCTGACACATAACACGTGGCCCGCTGCCCTCCCCGCATCCACCATCCACGCTCAGTCCCCGCTCTCTCATGTGTCACGTGTCTGAACGCTGCTATATGGTGGATCCTTCATAAGTCAGGAGTCCGTGCGCTGCTATATGGCGGAGTGCACGCGCGCCAACTAGTGATTGGGCGACGTGGCGGCGACGCGTCTACGTCGCCGTGACACCGTCACACTCACACCTACCACGAGTCTGCGACTATTCCACGAGAGCATCTCGCTGCCGGGCCGGGCTTGTCATCGTCAGCAAAACAGGCCACCTAGGCCTGCCTACCCAGCACCAACTCGGATTCGGGCTTGCTTTGCGCGCGGCGTGGAGAAACCGAGGGGAATTCAGTGACGGACCGGGAGCGAATCGTGCACCTTAGGAGAAACACCACATAATTTGACCATTATCCTCTATTTTTTATATACAACTACAACCACAAACACATACTTTGTACATAATCAATTTATCACGACGGCATCAGGAAAACAAAGCAATTCCTTTCTTTGTTGTGTTTGTGCAGGGAAGCAATTCACCAGACATTCTTGCAATAGAGCACTTCACTTGCATGTGTTATTTTCCCCATTTATATCTATATCTATATCTATATCTATATCTATATCTATATCTATATCTATATATCTTATAAAGCTAATCCCTACTATAAGTATTAATCTCAACACGTAAGTCATCCACGTCATTTCTCACTGCTATCCATATTATCTCCCACTAATAACCATATTATCCCACTAACTTCCAACGTTTAAATGCAAACTATCCACGTCGTCTTCACTTAATTTCATTCAAAATTCTTGACAACCCACTAACAACAATGCGGGGTATCTTTCTAGTTACAAAGAACATAAAGTTTTCCTCTCCTCTCAACAAAAACACAGAGTAACTAATGGCACAAAGGAGTGTGGTAATAAGGTTACGAAGTAACTAATAAGGGCATAAGGAGTGATGGAATAAACAGGTTGTAAGCAAGCTAAGGTTGATCTCATACATTATGATCATGACCTTATGCAAAACCTAAGAAGAAAAAACATAGAGTCGGCCCTCAAGCTTAGGACTCAACTTCAAGTATTAAAATAATGAGCTTGTTGGCCTAGTTGTTGTTGCCACAATAATGAAGGCCTCCATCAACGGATGACTTTGCGTTGGAGGGCTCAGGGAAGGTGAATCCTATGGTGCTAGACCTAGATCTTACTCTGCCTCAACAAGGTGGAGTCATGCTGGCATGGGTGCCCCACCATGGGTCCCTGCCATGGCTCCTGGATGACGCATCTTGGGCTCGCGCAAAAATGACCGTGTCAACAAATAATTCGAAATACCTCGACTTTTTCAAAACAGGCTCGAGTCAAATAGCAATGATTCGAAGTACTTCTTTTTCCATTACACTATTTTGGTCACCAAAGACAGTGGAGGACCCTGGCGCGGTCACTGGTGCAGTGATAGCACATCTACAACTAGACAGTGTTGAATTGGTGAAGTGCGGTTGGGGACTGTGGATTTGTCAACAGTGATGCTGGGGAACAATGGCGGAGCTTGAAGTAAATCCGGGAGGGGGTAATCAAACTTGGAGTATAGAGGGGGGGCTAGATTAGCAATTCAGCAACATTTAAGTGGTGGAATCAAGTGTTCTTTTAATAAACCTTTTAGGTTAGGAGGGGCCATGGCCCACTTTAGTCTACACTAATCTCCGCCCCTAGTGGGGGACAATACGGTGATGGAAGCCAAAAGAGACAGAGAACGACACACACTTGACAAATAGATAGAAAAATGTTTTATTTCACGAATGGATCATGACATTTATTAATTCATCTAATAATACTAATTATATACCTATCGGCATGGAAATGTGTCGACACACGAGCAAGCCGGAAGGGTCTGCTCGATGGAGCTGGAGATCCGCCTGGCTTCAACGCAGGGGTAATCGATCCTACGTATTCCTCCCGAGACATGCCAGTCAATTTGACCCTGCAATTGACAAGGAGAGAAAGTTTATCAGTAATTTAAGATGGAACATGCCGGTCTGTGCCCAGACAGTTCCAAGTGTGCCGCTTCGGGAGCAGCCATACGGGGAGAACGATTAA